ACTACTCTTTTCTCATCCCAATCCACTGATCCACCCAAAACTATTGATGAACCTGAAACTGATACAGACGAAGGAGGTTTTGGAGGTACTTTTGATGATTTGGAATTTGATGATGAGGAAGAAAATTTTCCAGATCACATGTTAATGTCTATGAAGCAGTTCAAGATTCTTAACAAGAAGTTGAATTCGATTATTCAATCTCAAGTTGATATGGGGGGGAAGTAATTCTGTGCTAAGTATGGAAATTGATGGTATGCTCAAAGCTGCTAAAGCCAGGATGGTTACCAAATGTTCTGGATTGATTCAGACGTCTGAGTCACGCATAATGGAGAAGTTGGGTCAGAATGATAAGAATAATGAGTTACGTGTAAAGTCCCAATCTTTGAATTTTCTGGAAGAAATTAAAGATTTCAAACGGTCAGCTAAGGAACGACACGTATTGTTCGTTCAAGATGTGAAAAAGGTGCGAGAAGATGTCAACTTCAAGCTTCAAGAGCTTCGAGAAGATATGGCAAAAGAGATTGAAGTGGTACAAAAAAGATTATGCTTCTCTTAATCAGCAAGTTGATATTATTGCTGAAGTGGTTACCAAGTTCGTGAAATTATACGAAGCAATGAGTCCTCAACTTACTCAGTTATCTACTCAAGAATCTAATAGTTTCACTGAGATCGCTACTCAGTTAAAAGATTTGAAGGCTTTAATCTCGAAGTTTGGTTCTTCTTTGTTGATTACACCAGAGTTTTTGTCCCAAAAAGTTTACTCAGTTTGAAGCTATCCTTCATAAGCAATTGGCACCTTTATCCAGAATTTCAAACATTTTACCAACAGATGCCCCGCCTGTTGTCACAGGGGTGCAAGGGGGAGAAAGGAAGGTTGGTGAGAGTTTGCATGAAGAAGGGAAGGTTGTTGGAAAAGTTTTCACAACGAAAATTCCAACAACAAAGCCAATTGTTTCAACAGCTGGTCCTGTAAGTTCGACAGTGGTGACCACAAAGCCAATCACCAAAGGCATAGTGATTCAATCTTCTGGTGAAGGGGGAAGTAATTCAAAATCTAAGGACACTGTTGAAAATCATGGGAATAAAGACAAAGGGAAAACGACTATTGTTGAGAAATCAAAAGAAGAGAAGAAAGCCGAAGTTGAAGCTGAAATGGAGAAACAAAGGGTGATTCAAAGTATTATGAGACTTCGTGTGAATGATCCACCTGGAATGGATAAGGGTGATCCAAGCAAGCATTACAATTATGAAACTATTGAAGCGAAAGTTGCATTCAATCATATGTATGCTTTTCTGAAGAAGCCTAAACAAAGCTATGCTGTTGCTAACTCAGATATGAGCCAACTTGATTTCCCTGTGAATGAGATGATGTTTATCATGGCTCAATACAAGATTGCTGAGAAGCTTGATAATGATGATGATTATACTCATATGAAACTTAGTTTTCATGATGTTCTTGGAAAAATACCAGAGGAGATTTGGTCACTTGTGAAAATCAAGAAGGTGATAAGCATAACGAAAGATGTGTTGTTCGAGAATATGATACTGAATTTTCGGTATCATGTTGTAAGGGCGAACAGTAAAGTTTGTGATTTCTCAGTTGCTGATTTTCCGTTAATGAACTTGTACGATCTTATACAAGTTGCATTACTTTTGAAAGACAAGAATGCTTCGCATCTTCAATGAACAAATCCAGAAGTTTTTAGACTTGGTCTTGCTCACATCAAAATATTCATAGATAATTACTATGAGTGTTTGGCTTTGACTGATGTGGAGTTGGCTACAACATTGGGGAATGAAGTGAAAGTCTCTATGGAAGTTTCGAAGACCCAAGCTGAGTTGAAGAAATATGCTGATGGGAAGTTTGCGTAAAACCTTTTGGAATGGTTTTTTCTGGAAAAGACAATTACAGCAAAGCAAAAAGGTTCTTATTTCAAGCAAGCGAAGTTGAAAGATATACCACATCCCAATATACGAATTTTATTGTTCGTATGAATAACTGTTCAAAGAATAATCAAGGGGATAAGAAGGAGTTAAAGAAGATTTTGTCGTGGTATACAGAGATTCGAAGAGTGATGCTTTTTGTTGCACAGATTCTCTCACCTTGAGAAGTTCGACATGATTACAAAGGGGGAGATTGTAAGGTTGAAATTTCTTGTAATATGTCGAAATGTCGAAATCTGTGTAATTGTCATTTTTGTATGTTTCGTATGTATTTGCTAAGGCGTCTTAGTTGTCGAAGCGTAATGTCTATGCCTTAGTATTTTTTTTACTTTCAGTCTCTTATAAATAGGAGCTGAACATTGAGTTGTAAGTAGAGTTTTCCCTGTTTCTGCTTACGTTTTGTACTTGTGTTCATTGGAAGTAATGAGAGCTTAAACCAGACCTTATTTACTTCTCGTGTTCATCTTACTCTGATTTTGATTCTCTTACTCGTTTTATTCAACTACAAAAATACATATCTGCTAACCACAAATGATATGCCAGATCTCGTGAAAGTAAAGTAATGCAATACACTAAACTGAAATAGAATGTATGATCTGACATAGGTGGCCCCTCTAATCAAGCTTATGAATGGCATCGGCATGTATGCGATGACTTGGGTTATAGTTTTCCATGTTAGCACATTAAAGATCTACATGACATATTTATATTGAGATACGAAAAGACCAAAAGGACAACGAGTCATATAAATGCCAAGAAAAAGGTAGGTGACCAAAGTCTGTCATGGCGAACTCTCAAGCAACCTAGGAGATGACACATTAAAGAAGAGTGGTAGATAATGATTTCATCTACATATAGTAGTAAATACACATTACTAGTCGCCAGGAGAAGAATAAAAAGAGATAAGTTAGTATGGCAATGCTGAATGGTAAAAGAATGAGTACAATATTTATAGTTTCCACTATGACAACGAGGCTGAATGTTTCATCGTAGTCAACACCCAGATATTGGATAAGTATATTGTCCATAAGGTGCGCCATATCTGGAGTGTTATGTGGCATTAAACTTATGTCTAAATAACCACATAGACCAGACAACATTAACTCTAGTGCAAGTGTCCAGGTACCGTTAGACATAAGAGCTTGATATTATTCATGTATGGCTTTATTATAAATATGATCGAGGGATGGTTGAGAGGTGGAGGTGGAAGAATTTTGGACAATTAATGGGATAGGAAATACCACTTTTTCCTCGAGTACTCATGGTGTGTGTTGACATAGAGTTGGATGTTGGGTTTGTGGTAGAGGTGGGAGCAGTGTGAAAGATATGGTCAGGAAAATCTTAGGGTATGAGGTTGTTGGGAGTACTCTCGGTAATGGAGGTGAGTGAGGGATAAGGAAAGTTGGATTTGGTGGTGGTGTAGGGTTAAGCCGAATTGGAAGTATGAGAGGAAAGGGTGTTTTGAGTGGTAGGGTTCTCGCTTTAGAGAGGGGCCAATGGGTCAAGAGTGGAGTGAGGAGTGAGATAAGGATGGAAAAAAAAGATGGGTAATTATTTCAATCTAGGAAGTCATATGAAGGAGGATCATTGGGTGTGAGTAAGCCTTATTGAGAAGTGGCTTCGTCAAATACTACATGACGACTGACAAAAGATAATGACTTTTTTGGTTGATAGATCGAGACAACGATATCCTCGATTGAAGGTCGAGTAACTTAGGAATATGCATGGGGTGGATCCAGGTCGAAGTTTTTGAGGGGTGTGGAGATAGGGATATAAAAAAAATAAAAAAAAAACAAAAAAAAAACACGATATTGGAATAGGAAGGATGACATTTGAATAGGTGGCAGGTGGTGTTTCATATGAAGACGAGAGTATATTTAGTAAATGGGTTGACATGTTAAGAGCTTCAACCCATAATATGGATGGAAGATGAGAGTGGAAAATAAGAGTCTGAACAATGTTATTAATTGATCAAAACTCCCATTTTATTAGAAGGTATAGAGACATGAAAAGCAAAATAAATAACTTTTGAAGCGAAGAAGTGATAAAAGAGTTTGTTGTTTTACTCGTCTTCTTTGTCACATTAGAAATTTTTGTATTGAGCACCCGAGTTGAATTATGACAAGATGAAAGAAATGAAAAATAAAAATTGAAGACATCTGATTCAGGAAATAATAATCGAAAAATCAGTTATAAATTAAAACACTTTATTTTTAGTCCATGTCAATATTTTCGGTCTATGTCAAATAAAATGCATCTCCAATGTAATTTCTAAAAAACGTTTATGAAATCATTGTCCGAAACAGTTTAAGCTTCATCTTGTTAGAAACAATACTCTATGATATGTTTTTCCTTTGTTGCGAAGCATAACATTTCAAATAGTATTATCATGTTTACAAAAATTGATCATTATCAAAAATATACAGACAAAAATTTATTCGATCTATTAGGACTTTCTACGAATTTGTTATTTACATGTTTTATTATTCTTTTTCATGTCTCCCTTCCATTTCATACCCGTGTGTTGTCCACTTTTCAGATTTATTATTTACATGTTTTATTATTCTTAAGTTTATAGTTATTTATATACATCGTACATACTTATACTAATTATCATTTATTTACTATTTTAGATGTTTGATATATTTATCAAAAATTATTTAAGATTTCTATAATCCCTAGCCCATTCTAACAAGATTTACGAAATCTGTTGTTGCTTTGTTCAGTAATTCAATCAAAATATAAAATGTGCTTATGTTATATGACAGATAAATCACCACTTAGACCGGACATCATATTATATGACTATTTCAAATAATCAAATTATCTACCCATGTTTTAGTTGCTATTCAAATTATCTACCGATTTTTGACATTGAATTTTTTTTTTTTTTTTTTTTTTTTGATTATTTCATAAAGTTTTGTTTTCTTATCGAGCAACTAAAAGAAACAGTTACATTTTTTTAATGTGAACATTTAACGGATTTATAGATTTTTATCACTTAGAATTTACATTACAAACATTAACTAGAAGATATTCAACTATTTATTGAATTTACAATCTTTAGTCACGCTGAAATTAAAATTACACAATCTTATTTCTTCTTTAAACCCAAAACTTGAAGTCAAAACATTTAAAAAAATATAAAATAAAATAAAATAAAAAATCCTCGTACTTAAAACAAAATCCTATGTCTTCTTTGACCGCAATGAAATGGCAAAGTAACATGCTTGACCGACTTCCTTCCCCCTCAAGGATATCATATATCATAAAAATCAGCATCTTTCATAGATCCACACATGGCTTGTCGTTTAGTGTTTTTAAACAAGAAAAATTGTGAAATAATGGACATCTTATATAAAGAAAAAAAGTTTATTATCATTAGATGATCACTGGTCTTAAAGCACGACAAGAAAGTTAATATCATCACCATAAGACTAAAAACAAGAGTTTAACTATTATAAACAAAAATTGATTCTGAGATTATATGTTTACAACAAAAACTCCCCAAAAATAAATAAACCAAACCCTCCATATTTAATACAAACCTAATCCTCCCCCAATTCATATTCATATACACAACCGAATAACTCAAAATCGATGATAAATAAATAAAAGTAGATAAGCCCCCTAAAGAGCTATATATTCCCAACTTAACTTGTAAACCACGCTATGTACAACAAGACTACATACATACCAAAGAACGTTTTTCTTTTCCAAAATTCAAATACTTTAATGATACTGGGCCTAACTTCATATTCATTCATTTAATAAAATAAAAAGTTGCATCATCCAAATACAATGAATCAGAATTGATTGTTCTTATACAATTAAGTAGAGCAAAGTTGGGCAGCATTATACTTGTCCCATTGAAATTTTTTAACAATGTTTCAACTTTCACCTAACAAATCGTTTATTCAAATAAACTATGCGAATATACAATTAAACTAAATCAAATACATTTCTATCTAGCAATTTGGAGATTGTTTGCAAGATCAAAGACTAGTTAGTTCAAATGAGAATAAAAATCAAAATATCTCACACACAAGTTAGAAGATACCACACCACAAGTAAAAGATGCACTTAAAAGGTTACATGCATTAAGCACAAAAGAAGTCAAACATACATCAGTTATCAACTCAGCACCTTATATTGAAAAGAGAGAGAGAGAGAGAGAGAGAGAGAGAGAGAGAGAGAGAGAGAGAGAGAAAACAGGCCCTAATAAGCACATAATACGAAAATCATATTGTAGAAAGTAGAAAATATAACAGCTGCCAATAAAGATCTAAAACATATTGATTTTACTACTAGTAAAGTAAAGTAAACTCAGATAGGCAGATAGAGATTGAGTGATGTGGCAAACACTTAATGGGTACAGACATCAGACATCAGACATCAGACAGGCAGCAAGCACAAGCAAGCAGAGTCCATTTATCACCAAAACCAAATAAAACCATTTGCCTTCAATTCAACAAGCTCTCAATTCTCAATTCTTATACACCTGAACCAAATACATCATTTAACTCAATCCACTTACCATGAAAAACCAAACATAAACACATTATCATATCACCAGTTAAAACAGACAATAACAAAATATTGTAAGCTATAAAATATAAAACCGAAAAATAAAATGTTATTGTTAGCTCACCCTGAAAAAAGAAGAAACAGTTTATATGCACTTGTTGCTGAAAACATTTAGTTGCAAAACAAATCACATAAACCCCTTCACAATGTAATGCTTCAGAGAAAGATTGAACTCTAAAAATGATTATTAAAGACAACAAACATTACAGTAAGAAACCTACACTTACTGACTAAACTAGCCAAAAAACTCAACAACTACCAGTTGAAAAATAACATCATAAAAAAAGAACTATTCTTTATCTTATTTTTAGCAAATAACACAAATTTTAACATAGCTTAACAAAAGAACAAGAAAACAACACTAAACTTCATCTACCATTGAAACAAATAAGTCGATCTGACATGTAAAACAGTTCAAATATAAGAACAAGTATAAACTCAAACAAAAAAAAAATCAAGCCACAAGAAACTTATTAGCATGTTATGGATAACACCGATATATATATATATATATATATATATATATATATATATATATATATATATATAATGCATATGCAAACATGCAATAATGAAGAGGTTTAACTAACTACTTCTTAATAAAATGAGTGAATGAATCTTTTAAGTTATAACCATAGCACTTGTATTTCAAATGCAAATCAATCATTGTGCTTGTTCATATCCTTAATACGAAACTAAAGTAGACCAAAATGAATTACTCAAACCATTATAAAAGTAATTTTGTTGCAAGACAAACATTGCAAATGGCCTAAATTCATTCACTTTGGCATACTTAAATGTATTGGATGTTAACAGGCACAATGGTTAGTTTGAAATCAAAAATCAAAATACAAGTGTAATGGTCCAATTGGTAGTAATTTAGAAAATTTAGAATGTGCAATGTGCATCAACCTAAGCACAATAAAGAAAAGAAAACATATAACGTTACCTCAGTAGTAAGGGGGCCCACCCTGATACATCTGACTAGGTGGACCTCTTGGACCAGCTGGTGGCATTTGTGAGCCACTGCTGTATCCACCACCACCATAATTGCCACCATCACCACCACCATAACCACCACCTGAGCTCGGAGGAATTCTAGACGACCCATAATTGTTATACCCAGGGTAATCCCCGGAGGCAGCACCACCTCCATAATGTGAGCCACTGCTGTATCCACCACTACCATAACCACCACCACCACCATAGCCGCCGCCACTACCACCACCATAGGAAGGTGGCCCCTGATTACCATAACCATGACTACCACCAACTGTTGAAGGCAATGAAGAGTTCATCTGTGGATTTTGATGAGGAAGAGGACGCCCACTCGAATATCCACCATATGATGTTAACCCACCTGTAATCCACCATTAAAAGACAATCATGACTTCATGAGCTTAATAGATTAGTAGAAGAAGATAACATTAACAAGAAAATAACCTTACCTGGCATACCATAGCCAGTATTCATGGACCCTGGCATCGAACCAGTTGGAGGAGCAGAATCAGGCATTCCAGTTGGTCCCTGAGGCCCACCTCCTTTCCCCTTCTTCCCATCGGTGGCCATTTTACAGTTAACTTGGTGTCCATCGATGTTCTTCATCGGATCAACGATTGAATTCCTGGCGCCTTCCTCCGTCTTATACACAAAAAACGCAAACCCCTTTTGTTTCCCGGACTGTTTATCAAACCCTAATGGCCCTTCTTCAATCTCACCATACGATGAAAAGTGACTCAACAATCTCTCCGACGAAAGTTCAAAAGGAACATTGCCGACGTAAATCTTCCTCGTCGACACATCAACATTATTCGAATCTTTAGCCGCTGCTAATTGCGCTACCGTAATACGACCATCGATCTTCTTGCTAGGTTCCTTTAAAGCCAAAATTGTACCGTCTATATGCTTTAAATGTAACAAATCCATAACCTTTCGATTTGCCTGTGTTTTTATCGGTTATCACAATAGCCTCTTCGAGTTCTCCGAAACTCGAAAAGATCGATCGGAGCTTTTCACTGGTGGTTTCCCAACCGATGCCACGGATGAAGAGTTTACGTTGGGTGGGGTCAGAATCTGCGATGGAGCGGACGGCATCTAAAACAGCAACATCGCGTACGACGACAGTTTGTAAGACGTCAAGAAGCTGTTCTTTGGTGAAGGGTTCGAGGATCTTGCGTGCATCTTGGGGACTGAGACTGCAAGAAGAGAGGGAGAGCGGCGGAGCAACGATATCGTTGGGGCCGGCCGTTGTGTACAGAACGCCGTTCTCTTCCGTCTTTCTCTTCTTCGATAGCTCCATTTTTTCTTGCCGGTGAACTGTAAACCCTAGCGACACAAAGAAACCCTAGAGAGAGAGAAAGAGGAGTTAAAAGAAATTGTACCTTCGTTGGTTCAATGACACGTGATAGAACTGTGAAATGAAAGATTAAAATAATTTCATTCTTTGAAAAATGTATAATGAATGTAATATATTTTTTGTTTTTAGTTTATATTTATCTTTTTAATTTGTTTAATGGTAATATTTAGTTCTTATGACCGGTTTGAAAGTGCAAGACTTAGTGTGCGAACAAAGTTTGAAAACTCAAACCTTGAATTAACTTAAGATCAATGTCTGATGTTAATATTTGGGTCCAGTCAAGTCTGGTAAATCAGTCTTATCTTAAAATATGAAGATCAACAAAGTATTCAACAAAATATTTAAGTAAAGTAAAGTGAGTATGAACAAAGTAAAGATAACTTAAGAACAAGAAGAATGTCGACATTCAAACTTGCTTTGAACCTTGTTATCGTATCCAACGATCTTGGTAATTCGCTTCCGAGACCACACTTCTTTTTGGGGACGTGTGTTGATGGAGTAGAAGGTTTTCAATCTCTCACGCTCTGTCCTAATGATTATTTGAGGATCCATCATTCAGGTGAAGAGGAGCGTACTTGATGTAGAAGTGACCGTGAGGAGAGATTGGCATATCAAGTTGATCGGCATCCTGTGTTGGAAGATCATAATACATGAATGACACAAAGTGTATATCATGAATAACTCCTCGGAAAAGAGGAGATATGCCCAACATCGGATTCAGATTGTCTTTCGGCGCTTGAATCCTGATGCTTTCTTCCAAAGCTTGATCGAATTTTCTTGAGACCAGCCCTCGGTCGATTATTAGCCGACACAACCTAAACGAGAATTGAAGATCTCGTTAATAGGACCTCAACGATATAAAGACAATTGAAAACGGACATCGGACAACAAAGTTATGAACTTTTAACAGACTTTAACTGTCAAAGCCTGTTAAAATATAACTCTAAAAATAAAGTCAAAATTAGCCAACAGACTTTGAACGAAAGTTGTAGATCTAGTCAATACCTTCGTGTGGATATAAAGAACGTCAAAAACGGAGCTCGTATGTGAAATTTATGAATTTTTTTAAGAATGACTGTTTTACCTGCGTCCTGCGCCACGTGTCAGCACCAGGAGAAGCCTTGGTGCCTACGCAAGTTCACGGCGCGAAGGTAAATGTCACGACGTGAAGCACCCCTGGACAACCTATAAATAGAAGGCGCAAATCACTCAATTCCTCACACCTTTCTAACCCATTCTCTCTTAAACACCCCCAAACCCTCTAAGCCTTTCCCTAGCACCTCCTAGGTGTTAGTAGCGAGTCCCGGAGCGCCAGAAGGCTCCGAGAAGAAGAGCTTTCGGCTTAGAAGTTCTGCCCATGCAGAGCCCGGTTCCTCGCTAAACCCCCTTGTAAGTGAGTTATGCTGACCATACTTTAAGTATAACTTATGTTTAAGTTCATTATCGTTATTATGAACCTATAAACAAGATTTATCAGTGATTCCAAGTCGTTATACTGATTGATCTACTTACAGGGATCATGTCTAGGCTGTGATTAGTGAGGTGTATAAAGTCAGATTTCCAAACAATATACTTCATATACCAAACGGACCCTACCTCCGATATGATCCTACATTGTGACAACCGTCAATTTTTGGCCAAGTCAAAGTCAACTAAAGTCAACAAGTCAAACCGGTCAACTCATCTAACCCTTGTACATTAGGGTTTCCATTATGTTTCTTATTGAACAACTCGCAATCTTAATACAAAGTATCACTTAGAGTTTTCACGTGTTCGGAAATTCTAAACCCTAATCAGGGCAAGTGATTGAAACTACTCGATAAACATTATTCCTTAACCCTCATGGGCATATAACAATCATAACGAGACTTAACGGGATGTACAAACCTTGCGTTGCGAAGCCAAACACTCAAAAAGGTCACAAAAGAAGTCTCTCCCAATCTCTTTCACTCTAACTCTCCCAAAACTCTCTAAGTAGGAGAAATCGCTACAAGTGTGTGTAATCTCTCCCAAATCTCTCCAAGTATGTGAAATCTTTCCCAAATCTCTCTCTGTATGAGAAATCTCTCCAAGAATGTCAAATCCCTCCCAAATCTCTCCAAGTATGTGAAATCTCTCCCAAATCTCTCTCTATATGAGAAATCTCTCCAAGAATGTCAAATCTCTCCCAAATCTCTCCAAGTATGTGAAATCTCTCCCAAATCTCTCTCTGTATGATAAATCTCTCCAAGAATGTCAAATCTCTCCAAATCTCTCTAGTATGCCAAATCTCTCCAAGTATGTGAAATCTCTCCCAAATCTCTCTCTGTATGAGAAATCTCTCCAAGAATGTCAAATCTCTCCCAAATCTCTCTAAGTATGCCAAATCTCTCCAAGTACGACAAATCTTTCCCAAATCTCTCTCAAAATCTCTCTCAGCTTTTTATAATCACTCGGGGCATCTCGACCCTCGAATTTGACGAAAACAGCTCGAAAACGGAAGTCTATGCGAAAAACAGCCTTAAGGAACCGAACTCCTCTAGGAACCGAAACTCTAGAGCCGAACCTCCTGAGAACCGAACCCTCTCACCGAATGGACGCGAGCGGTGGTCTATTTCTGTTCCCCTGACTAATCAGAACCGAGACCTGACTTTCGGCTCTTCCCTTCTTACCTTCGGTCCGAGAAGACTTCTCACTCTTCGGGTCCGAGAAGCACCTGCACAGCCGAACCCCTCCACTCTCGATCCCTTCTGATGAGCAGCCTGCGAGACCTCTCGGTTCCCATGCACAACCGAGCCTCGCCTTCGGTTCTATGCTCCTAAGGAGCCGAACATGCGCACCTTCGGCCCTGAAGTTCGGGGATTTCAGCAAGTCATTCCTACCCGGTTGGTTTTCAATATTTTTAGCGTTTTGAGCCCGTTTTTCGAGATTTTAACGCTAGGTATTTTTCACCCCAAACTCGTATTTTAACATAATAAACCCCAAATATTCATAGTTTAATTATATTTTGGGAAAATCTTTGCCTAAGAATAAAATCTAGTTGCTAGATATTTAGGAGGAGTGTTGACTTATCCTTTGAAACAAAGACACAAGCAACCTCCCATACCTTCATAGTACAACCCCTAGTCACTATTCACCCATACCTAGTCAATCATTGTCCTTTTCCCACTCTTTTTCAGCCATAATGTTGACAAAAGCTGGAGATATCCTCCCCTCTCTCCCACTTTATTCACTCTTTCTTAAAAAGAACAAACACCTCTCTTCCACTTTCTCTCTCTAAAAATTCGAGATTCAAAGGCTGGTCTTGGGTTTTTCCTCCACATTTGGTAAGTATTTCCCTCCTACACTTAGATATTCTACTATCTTTCATCCAAATCATAGATTGCTTACACAAATATCGTCATATTTGTGTTAGATCTCAAATCTTCAAACACCTCCCAAGTGTTCTTGAGTTGAGCACTTCTTTTCTCCATCATCCATCTACTGAAATCACTCAAGGTGAGTTCCTACCCTATCGTTTCATGTTTTTCTTAGTTTTAAGGGGGGGGGGGGGGAAATACAATTTAAAAAACACCAAGAACTCAACTAAACTCATTTAACAGCCTTCATCAGAAAAGTTCAACTCCATTCACGGACTGTTTTTGGTCAACTTAAACATTTTAGTTTCAAAACTGTATTAGGTGCAAATAATTCAGGTTCATACCTTTAAAATGACTACTTTCACATCACCATACGATTTTTCTACGATTTATGGTGATTTTTACAAAACTGTCTATCATTTCAAAAACGAATCCGGACCAGTCTGTGAATATGAACATTTTAACACAAGTTAAAGACTTCCAAAAATCATAATAAACTTATGAAACCAAAACTAGACACATTTTATGAACTCTCAGAATTTACGGATTCAGTTTTCGACTTCGTATATTTTTCTGATTTTTCTAAAACAGTGCAGAACGGTTAAAAACTAGTTAACAGCTTATAATTTCAAAAACACTTTGTATTATGTTGAGCAAAGTGTATAAAAATAAGTTCTAAATATTGAATGTATTTCTTGTTAGTTTATCATCATAAACTCAAATTTAGTCTTCATGATAAGGTTTACTCATTCATTTCGAATATTAATAAACTTCAATAAGCATAGTTATGGATTTTTTACTACATGAAAAAGGTTTTACTCTCAAAACAAATGGGTTTTTCATACTTTACGTAATAAACTATAATAGTAATAGTTTAAGGATTTCATATCACTAATTTATTCAAAAAGTGATTTTACTTCCTTCATGGAAGAGGTTTTAATATCAAACTGTGTGTAAACTAGTTAACTTAGGATGTGAGGCAATTCTCTCCCCGTACGTTCGAGTACGGGATCCCAATTCCTGTAAGTTATTGTCACACCCCAAAACCGGAACGGCAGAAACGTTTGGGGGTGGAGGACGTCATGTACAGTATCACAACAATGCAAAGTAGTAAACAAGCAACAACATCATCCATTGCATTAATAATATAATTAATACAGGTGTGTTCTGTCAAGTTTTATAGACACCAAAAATATACATCAAAATAAAAGATGAGTCTTGAACGAGCTCCATCTTCTCTCCAACCTGGCTCGGTACCTGTCTACTGGCAACTAGAATACAAGTTATTTTGAAAGAGTTTCAGCTTTTAAGCTGGTGAGATCATAAGTATATTAGTGTCTTGTATTTGTATGAAAGTGTTTGTAAGTCTGTAATGTATAAGTTTTGTAAAAGTTTGTAATTGTTTGAACTCTCCTAGAAAACCCTATGTTTCCTACTAAAAGTAGCCTTCTACCAAGGCATCTAGTGTATGTGTGTGGTCTCTTGTAAGAGTATGTATTTCCAAATCTGACTATCATTAACCAAAAATATAGTTTTTACATTATTGTTTATTGTGTGAATATCACAAAGTAAATGTAAAGGGAAAATGAAATAGTACTGTAGTGT